CGGAGATCACCTGAATGGGAGCGGGAGCAAGTTCCTTATGAAAATCGCTTCTGGACAAGGGGTTTCTGGGAACTATCTCCTCTACGGTAGGAAAGCTCTCATCCTCTTCAACCACGAAATCCTCGCCGCCGGAAGGAGGAGCCACCGACAACGGAGTGGTGTCAGAAACTTCATCGTGAATACGAAGGGTGTGCGACATATCGACGATAAAAGGTATGCTACTAAACCTGAAGAAGGAGGTAACGATTAAGGTAAGAAGGAGAGATATGGAATCGTGAAAGCAAAATCAAGAACAGAAACTGGCAAATAAAATCGAAGGAGAACAATGTTCTTGCAAGGAAAGGGATGGTGAAAACTTCTGAAAAACGAAAACCCCATCCATTTATAGGGCTGGATGGCGCGAGCATCGAGGCAAAAGATTATCAATGGCACCAAAACCAAAGCGACAGGCACGCAGACGCTGTCTCGGGAAGATGCGTAACAATGACGTACGTGGCTATGACGTCACCCCATGGCAACCACACCAATCATGACTCCACTGGTTGTGTCGCTCTCTCAACCTTTGTCGACCCGGCTTATGCAACAACCAAATTCTCCCGAAACAAAGGCAAATCATGTCCGCTTATCGAGGGCGTGCAAGGCCACGACCTCAACAAGCGGAGGGACTAACTGTATAGGTCCAAATTCGGCGACTCGACGGTAACAGATAAGTAAGATAAAGGACGGGATCGACCATGATATAACGATTGAAGGTTGCTCTCACAAATGCTGGTGCTTAAAGCAGGCAGCCGGGGTGAGAAAATAACGGTAGCATAGGTTCAGAGGTAGACATAAAGAATATTCCTTTGGATATTCTTTATGCTGTACTTTTTAGGATTTTTGGGGAATATCCCTTATAAATAGGAAGAGATAGAAAACAAAAAGGAGATCTTCACTTTTGGGATAAGAATACATTGTAAAGGTTGACAAAAGAGAATATCCAAAAGTTGTCTTGTTCATTGATATTATTAAAGCACACGTTGTTCAACCTTTATCCATAGATTCAAAGATTCCATACCCATCTTGACTTCTCACTCTTCCACGCTGCTGACAGAGGAAAGGAACATCCCAATCATACAATAATTGGGTGGTAGATCCTTTCTTATTACATTCATTGCCATTATTTATATTTATTACATATTCATGCTATCATATTTATTGCCAATCATAGAGTATTAAATCCGTTATTTAATGCTCTTGAGCACTACTCGTCTCACGAGTGTTCCATTTTATTCGGTTTAGAATTTATTAAGTTCAACTAAGATTCGCCCTTTAATTCATGATTAATTGGTCTAGTTAAAGGTTTAGCAGTAGAAAAACTGTTATTCCAACAATATTTACAGCAGTTCATGTTAAATGTGATCTTCCATATAGAGGATAGAAGCGGTCCAATATATTCTTGACCATCTTGAATTGGTATGACTGTGAAATTTTAAAAGTAGGTATATGAAACAATACTTTAAGGAATTTAGAAGTTTGAAAGTATAAGAAGTTCATGCATATTCTTAGACTCCATGAATACTTTTCATAATCATTAAAATTTAAATTCCTAAATGTTAGGAAAAATTTAACATATTAATTTAAATTTATTTAAAGAAGGAGAAATTTATAGCCAGAATTTTAGTTGATTTCATATTTCTAAATATTAAAAAAGTAACTTAAATTATAATTTTATCTAATGTAAATTATTTTTAAAGATAAAGAGACAAATGACATTTCGTCTAAGAACATTCGTGCTTTTAATATAGTATCCATAAAATGATACAATACAATACAATATATACATTATAAAATAATGATCCAAACATACTGTAATTAGTTGATATCCACAAGAAATTCTTCTCTATATAAGTTTTTGGACTAGGTTTTAGAATAAAACTTCGATAGAAAGAGGTACAAACACTGCAAGGTATGAAACGACTGGTGAAGGCCGCCGAGGGAGGCATACATTAGGGACAAATGCTTCTATGGATTAATTGAAGTTTGAATACGCTTATAGCCCGTTTGGCCAAGTTTTTTTTGGGCCAAAAGTGCTTTTTTTTTGGCCAAAAGTACTTTTGGCCAAAAATTGAGGTGTTTGGCCAAGCTTTTGGAAGGAAAAAAAGTGCTTTTGAGGATTAGCAGAAGCAGTATTGGAGAAGCAGAAAAAAGTAGCTTCTCTCCAAAAGCACTTTTCTGATAAACACTTTTGAGAAAAATACACTTAGAAGCCGTTTTCAAAAGCTTGGCCAAATACTAATTATTGCTCAAAAGTGCTTTTCAAATTAATTAGCCAAACACAAACTGCTTCTCACCAAAAGTACTTTTTAAAAAAGTACTTTTGAAAAAAGCACTTCTCAAAATAAACTGATTTTAGAAGCTTGGCCAAACGGGCTATTAGTCAAATAACACAAAGGATTAAAATTAGAATAAAGTAATAATTCAAGACGACTAAGATCACTATTTCCTATATTAAATATATACTTCTTTCTCCTTTCTCCTGTCCTATCTTTTGGTACAAGTCATCTATCTTTATCTTAGCTTCCTTTTAGCTCAGTTATACTCTTCAAAAGCTTATTTATCTTTTGTTTTTGTAACTTCCTATAGATTCAACTATTTTTAAAACTCTAATTATAACTCTTTGCACCTCCTTATTCCATCACTTGAGTTCTTGTGGTCGAGATCCTAAACCGTTAAACGCACCTAACAATACTTCAGTTGCTAATTTTTGTGTGCAAATTGACACATGATGCATCTTTGTCTCCCCTTCATTTATGCTTTACATTCCAGACCATATCTACCGTGTAGCTAGCTGTCGTATCTAATCCTATTTATAGAGCATAAGCATTAATGACATTTATTATCATATTTTCATATACAAGTCTTAATGAGATAACCCTATCCACTCGCTTTACCTCTACAACCTTGTCTTTAAGTCCTTATTTTATAATAATTCCCAACTCATTCATGTTTTATATATATCTCTCAGACAATATCGGGATTTATAACCTATGATGCCTATCTAACCTTTTGCCTTGTCCATTTAGTTTCTTATAGCATGTAATATCAACTCTTCTCCTTCTTAAAGTATCTACTAATTTTATTGGTTTTTCCATCAAAGAGCCTATCTTCCAACTACCTACCTGAATCCGACTCTCTCGGACTATTTTCTATCATATCAGTGTGCCGATGCAGAGGCTGATCCACGATTTAATTCCTATGGGTTCAACTTTTTAAATTTTTAATATTGAAACCATTATGATTTTAAAGTTATGGGTTCATATCTACTATTTGTTTTAATTTTAATAGATATTACATATAAATTTATGCTCCGTGTCGAAAGTTATGAGTTCAATTGAATCTATACGTATAGTGCTACATTCACCTCTGTGCTGATATAACAAGTGCCTAGGTGAACACGTCCTAACGATATTTGTACTATGAGATTCATCATAAATTGACTAATTTTGTAATGACTGTCTCCTACTATAGTCTTCCTCCTTTATCCGGGCTTGGGACCAGCAATGTGAGCAAACTCTCCCGACTAAGTTTTCTAAGGTTTTAATCTGTGCACTAAATTGAGATACTGTTTCTATTATTTTCATGTGGTAGTGTGTATATGTGTGTACACATGCTATCTTATAGAAAAATAGTATTTACATATACATGTATAAAAAAGTTTTTTCCGCCAAGTGATGTCTGGTGTAGGATTCACAAACCCCTCTAACGTGTAGTGTTCTGTGACCTAATTTACATATTGGATGAACCTAACGCCCTCAAATTAAACTTATAAGGTTCCATCATGCTCTCAGTATATATACTTGGAATCGTGACATAAAACCCTAGCTAGTTGAGACTAAATGTTTATATTTCAAACTAATCCCAGATGGTCAGAATCACAGTACTTTTCATACGCTTTGTTAGAGAACTTATTGGAAGTGTAATCCTACGCTGAACTTAACTCTTTAACACTAATTTGTATACTTAAAATCGTCGCTCATTTTCAACTCGATTCACCATCCTACAAGCTAGCCGAATCTGCATTTCAACTTTGAGGGTTTTGAATTTTAGAACAATGACTTTAAATGTTAATAATTGGGTTTTAAATTTAATTTGTGTATATATTTAATAAATTCATTAACACGGATACCATGTGTGAACAAAAAGTTACTGGATTCAAACTCGTATCTCGGCTTCTACCACCGCCCTTGTATGCAAGCCGCAAGGTATATCAAGTATTAAAACGTCCAGTAAAATTAGATGGAAATCGATTCAAAAATGACACATCCAAATATGGTAGGGTCTAGTAGAACTTATAACTAACAATCATCGGAGACTAGCTAAGACTCGTTTAAAATTTCCATTTTTAAGAACAAAGATGAAGACTCTCAGGCAAATTATGTCTTCTCTTACCAGTGATTCAAGACTGGATAACTTTTACTCTCTCTCTCTCTCTCTCTCTGTGTATGTGTGTGTGTTTTTCCTTTTGTTTTGAAGATGATTTGTTGCTAGTTGCTACCTCCTTGAATCGTCTAATAATCCATCTTAGGCTTGAAACAGAAGGTGGCCGGTAATTTCTTGGAATGACAAATTTGTTCAGAATATTCAATCTCCTTAATTTTTTTGTCAATTATATATAATGAACTCCCCACCATTACAAATATTCTTGCTAATGCTCTACACAAGGTATACATAGTTCCTCATTTAGGTGCTTGAAACACAATTGATGAGGTTTATAGTGTGAGTTTGATTAATAAAATTTGTAAAATTAAGTTTTACTACTTAATATTTTACGTCTTCCACCCTCAAATATCTATTTTTGTAATTTTAATACATGGGTGTAACCCCAAAAAAATAAAAAAAGGTGTTTGCAAGTGGCTATTCCAAAACTGTAGAAAGATAACAAGGCCTTGGTAAAAATCATAAGGACAATCTTTCTAACAACGGAGAAGTACTTATAAATAATATTCAAATCTTGAACACAACCAAATATCCAGTTTAAGCAAAAATCATAATCAAACTCAAAACCATCAAACATCCAAGTAAATAACAATATAACAACATGACACCTTTTACTAAACAACAACAACCCAGACATCAAATAATTAAGCACATATAAATAAAGCAGACTACTGCGCATGCATCTAAGAGAGCTCTGAATTGGATGCAACTGGTGAACTGGTTTGTCCCTCATAAAGTTCATATTGGGAAAGCTGGTTCTTTGGATTTGGTTTTTTCACATATTTTCGTGCCCAAACATGCTTCCCATTGATGTTGTATTTAGCCTTTCCACCATCTACAATAGCCTCAAGTGCAGCAAGAGAGCGAGTTACAAGGCGTGCGTACAGTGGTTGCTCATCATCCGAAACCTCTTGCATGTAAATAGCTTCAATATCCTCCCCAAATTTCCTACCAGCCATCACCAAGTATATTAATTAAGATAATATATATATATTAAATGGACCAATGATAAGTGACTTAACAAGTGAAAAAAAATCCCGACAAAGGGTGTTCAATATGTGTTATATACCTCTAAAACGTAATATTTTATCTATATACACAGTGCAATTTTTGGATGAAGGGCGGTCAACTGACCCCCTTGTAACCATGTGGCTTCGCCACTGATGCTAACTATGTAAAGTTTTTATTAACCTGAAAATTAATTAAGACAAATACCAAGATGACACCTGAAAGCCCCAGTAGCAAGCTTACCGTGGTGGACTTTCCCCCAGAAAAAATTGAGTTAATATCATGTGAGTCGACACTTGATCTTAACCAAAAGGCCGAGAATGTATAAATGTTATTATTTGACCAAAATGTATTAAACTTTTTGTTAAACTAATTAATGAATGGAATAGAGATAAATCTTAACCAAAAGTAATTAACTCTAGGTCACAACATATTGAGTATAAAAATTGGAAGAGAATAAACTAATTTAATATTTTTTGAGATAGCTATCATACATTAAGTGAGAACGGTAAGCTTATATCTGTGACAGACTTGGATTACAGTGGAAGGGATATAAAAGATGAAAAGAAAGCTGTAGAAAACTGGGGAGTCTTCTCCCCTTGGCTTCGTAGTATTGCTCTTGTTAGTCATATCCAGTCTCCCTTTTACAGTTCCCTCTCCTCCCCCTTTGTATATCAATAATGTTCCCTTTTATCCAATGGTCTTTGACCAGTCTCATTTGCCGAGACGGCCCTTTGTTACTTATCCAAAGTTATATATATCAACACTAATCGTGTAAAAATTCAGTGTATACAAGCTAAAATTTTAATTGAAACCCCTTGATGTGGCCATGTTGCTTTGCCTCTTTAAGATTGTTCGATCGGTAGAATGGTTGTACTCATCCTATTAAAAGGATGCGCTAAAATATGTAGTGAACCTCTTAGTGTATTTTACAAGATTAATCAAGTTAAGTGTTTTACAAGATTGACACTTTATGTTTTGAGATGCAAAAGGTGGGAAATCTCGCATTAAGATTCATCTATATACTACTAGTTGATAAACACAATATATAAATAAATAAATAAATAAATAAATCAATCAATAAACCAAATAAATAAATGAAAGAATAAGGGAACTAAATGTAAAGGAAAATAATTATATATTCAGAAGAGGGAAAAAAGAAAAGAGATTTTACCTGGTGAAGAACTCTACAACTTCAGTTTCAGTAATTGGATAGCCTTTGGAGAAAGTCAAAAACACAGTCCTAGCATCAGGAGGGACTTCTTTATCTTCTTCAGCATGAATTTTCAAACTGTTCTTCAACAATTCTGCTATATCATTGTGCATAGCCTGAGGGGCGCCTTCCTCATGTGCACCAAATTCATGATGATAATTAGGCAACATTTGATGAATTCCACTACCAATATTTGAAGCATTCACATGAGATAAAAGTCCATAATTAGGCAAATTCAAGTTTCCTCCAATAAATGGTTGTGGCATATATTGCATTTGATTAGTAGGAACCAAAAGAGGCAAACCTAAAACAACACCACCACCACTTGGGACATGGCTACTAGGGTTAATTGGCACCATTCTATTAGTAGCCCTTCCTATTTCTTCAATGTTCTCACTATGCATAGGCTCTAAAAAAATGCCGCCGCCGCCGCCACCACCGCCACTTGGGACATGGCTAGGGTTGAGAATTGACATCATTCTTGTACTATTAATTCCCATTTCTTCCTTGTTCTCATGACTATGCATAGACTCTAAAAAAACACCACCAACATGACTTGGGACATGATGACTAGGGTTGATAATTGGCACCATTCTACTACTACTTCCTATTTCTTCTAAAACATTTGGTGAAACCAAATTTTCCCTAGTAAAATACTTTGGATGTTGCACTATATCATCAAAAGCCCTAAGACAAACTGTCTTAAAGAATTTCGTGACCCCACGAATGGCGCTTGCCCGATTCTCATGAATGTATTTGAGAGTGAATTTGGGGTTCAACAATTTTGGAATCAAGAATATTTCCTGAGAAACATTTTCAGTACTGAACTTGTCATCCTCCACACATTTTAGGCACGTTAAGGCCTCCTTCGCCACCACATTCAACAATGGGAATGGAAAATCATAAATCTTCCTCATAAAAGACCAGTCTTTCCCAACTACTTCAAGCCACTGAAAAAATGCCATGATTTGCATGGATTCATTAGGGTCACGACCTAAAAGGTTGATCAATTTCGCGTAAAGTCTCCGATCAGTTGAGTAAAAGAGTTTGAAATCTTCATCTGAGATTGGAGAAAAAAGGTGATCGTATAAAGGGGGTAATGAAGAAGAAAGACGATCCATTTGTAATCTTTGATTTTTTTTATTTTACCCTTTTCTTTTTGATGATATGAAAAATGGATTTTGGATGTAGAGTTTATATAGATAAAGAGATGAAGCGTTACTATTGATAATGAAGTAACATTTCGAAGAGGCGCCATTGTTGAGAAGAGGTATGAAGACAAAATTTAAACGAGATTTTGTGCATTAGATTTCACTTTGGGTTCTAACGGTTATTTCTGTTCAAATGTTTTGACGTACTTACTATTTCTGGCTTACTATCTCTGTAATCAGTATCACTGGGACACTGATTAATTATCATTGTCTTTTATTCTTGAATTCTTTTTTTTATTTAAATTTCCACCAATAAATTGAATAAAAAATTGCTTACATTTTCCGAGATTTGTAGTTAAGTGATTAAAAATTGTTACTCTTCTTCTTTAAATAAAATCTAATTTCATGTATGTATCAATAATAATCTTCTTTATTACAACACTTTTTTCTATATTAATTACCATTATTTTTTCAGGATTCTAACGTTTAGAGCATGGTGTGTTTAATTAAGTGGTAGAATGTTATGGTTCTCAAATCTTAGAAAATAAATGTACAAGTCATAATTTAATTTTACATATAAGTTTATTACTTTATTTGAATGGTTTTAAAAAGTAAATAACTTGATTACTTACTTTTTTAATTTAGATATTTCTTACAATTACTTAAGTATGTGTTTAAGAAGTAACCTTATTAAAGTAATCTATTGACATTCCTTTTAGAAAGTAATTTTCTTATTGATAACCAATTACCAATTTTAATTGAAACGGATCTGATTCAACTGATTAGCTTGCTAGTACGTATTAGGTAATAAAATTCAACCGGAAATTGCATTTTTTTTTTTGTTAAATAGATGCATGATTACGCCCAACTATGCCTTATAAAAAGGACTAAGCGGTCACTGCAAATATAATCCGGTTCAAGAGTCCGGAGTCGAATCCCACATGGAACTAACCTATTTACTACACTTTTTGTAACGCTAATGATAAGCTCAGACAATTTCCAGATGCAATATTTTATTTGATAATTAACAAAAATTATTTAACTAAGGGAAGATGACAATAAAAACTATCAATAAGCAAGAATGAAGTTGAATTCAGTGGTAAAAGCATCTAGGGTTATTGATTTCCCCAATTGTCGGACTAATTCCTGACACGTTAGCTATAATCTCGCCGTAACACTCTATAAAGATGATGAGTTCTTGTTTACCGTAATTATCTCTCGATCAATTACGATAATTTACTAGAAACATTCTCTCGAACTACTCTAGTTGACAATTGGTACAACTAATAAATATCACACCAAAACTTCGTTATCTCTAACCCCGATTTTAAATTCAAGTAATTAATCTCTTAACTTACCCGAAAGTGGCGTTGCTCAACAACAATCTAATCAAGTGTTCTTTCTCAAGCAACACAAGATAACTAGACACGTTTAATCAAGAGCCCTTTCAATTAATCACAAGACAACACATAGTTGAACAATTATAGAGTAAAAACGGCTCAATTATATTAAAACGTAATCAAGACTTCATCCAACAATTGGTTCCATCAACCCTAGATGACGGGTTTAGCTACTCATACTATTAGACAAGATTACAATATAAAAAGTAATAACCAACAATGGAATTAAGAAGAAGATGATGAAAAACTCGTAGATGATTCTCCGTCTTGCTCCTTTTTTGTGTTCTTGCCTCCAAAGTTCTTCTCAAAAATAAGTCTCCCCTCTTTTTTGGGCGAGTACGGCTCATATAGGTCAAGGTTAGTAGCCTTTTTAATTACAAAATTGGCCTTGGACTATTTTTCCTCGGAAGCACGTGCGCAGCCGCGGATTAACCGTGCATTTTGACCAGTGTCCTGCCTGACATGCGCGGCGAGTGCGCGGCCGCGCATTGACCGCGCACCTGGAGGAGTTTCTGCCTTCGTTTTTTTCTTTCTTCTTTTACGCGCGCTAACCTCCGATTGGCCTTCAATGCTCCATACTAACTCCAAAACACTCTTTAATGTCCTCATAGCCCGGAATTGCTCCTACGAAGCATAAAGTTCTTAACTAGAGCAATTTATTATCATTTATCATTCAAATATTAATAAAGTACAACTAAGTTAGAGCGTAAATGATAGCTAAACTACATAATTATAGCCTACTATCAATGCATAATATTAAGAACTAGTTAAAGTTACTACAGATAACGACACTTTTAAGTGCGAAAAAGTTGTCCAGGCGAGCCAAATATTACTAAGTTGAGATCAATACCTTGCTAGTGGTACTGATTTTCAATCTATGTAATTGCAGTTTCACAAAAAAAGGAAGTAAAAATTGCACGGGGCGCCCCTCTTTAACCTGTAGCCGCTTTGTCTTTTTGTTTGCATCCGTACCCACTTTTTAAAAAACTTCAGCTTCCCTTTATAACTGAGAATGAAGTTTCCGGGTTACTAAACAAAAACTTCAGCTCTAGAGCTGAAGTTTTTATTTTATAACTAGGAAACTTCAGCTCTAGCTGAAGCTTTTATTTTATAACTGGCTTTATTTTATAACATAGAAACTTCAGCTCTAGAGCTGAAGCTGAAGTTTTCCAGTTACATTACAACACAAAAACTTGAAGTTTTTATTTTATAACTGGAAAACTAGAGCTGAAGTTTTTATTTTATAACTGGAAAGAGCTGAAGTTTTTGTTTTATAACTGGAAAACTTCAGCTCTACAGCTTAAGTTTTCCAGTTATAAAATAAGAACTTCAGCTGGAAACTGCTTAAGTTTTTATTTTATAACTGGAAAACTTAAGCTGGAAACTGCTTAAGTTTCTATTTTATAACTGAAATTATTATTGTATAACTAGAAAACTTAAGCTGGAAACTGCTTAAGTTTTTATTTTATAACTGAAAAACTTCAGCTGGAAAACTGCTTAAGTTTTTCGGTTACAAAGACAAAAACTTCAGCTGAAGTTTTCCAGTACAAAAGAAAAACTTCAGCCCCGTGGGATGAAGTTATGTGAAAAAGCGGGTACGCTTGTAATTTTTTTTGCAAAACGGGCACAAGTTAAAATGTGGCACAAAAAACGGGTATAAATGCAAATGCCCCAAAAAGGAAGGGTGGAATACATCGACAAGTAATTTTATAAAAACACGCTAGCTTCATGCCTTCTTTGCTGAATTGAAAAAAACAAGAAGTTAAAACCGATAAGGAGGCGAGAGTGTAGAATACAAATAGAACCAAATGATGGATGTGCACTTCAACTAAAGGGAGATTATCACCAAAAGTATTTTATTACTCCAATTACATAATAAATCGATTAGGACCCTTCTTGACGACTTTTATTCAATGCATATTTGAAACTTACGTTGGCCTAATTGTCCCTCCTGAACTTCGACAATTTCATAGTCTTAAACCTCCAGGCGCTAACAATCCATTGAAAGTGTGACACACGTACTATCACGTAAAATTTTTGTCCACGTGGCATTTTTTGAATAATATATATTTTATATTTTTAAATCCATCAATTATTTGGATCATCTTTTTTGGGCCAAATATGTAAAAAAAAAAATGGAACAATGTCATTGTGGCTACAATTTTTTTATTTGGTTAAATATAATAATATACTAATCAAGTTATTTTTATAATTTATCCAAAAAAATAAGAAATATGCAATTAGAATAAATAATCATTGCATATTAAGAAGAATAAAAAGACATACGCAAATTGAAATTCCATTATTTTGCTAAAAAAAAAAAAAGAAATTCCAAGCAAATGATTTACAAATTTGACCCAAAAAAGTAAATAGCTATTGCATGAAAAGAAGAACACATATTTTTTTCCTCTCTAGAAAATATACTGTTTAAATTTTATTTTTATTTGGCTAAAATAACAGAATTTCAATAAAGTTTTGCAGATTAACCTGGAAAAAATACATAATTAAAATAAATTGACATCGTAATTAAGAGGAAAAACAGTTCAATTGGGATACAATATGCAACGTATATTAAGGAGAAATACAATTAAAATAATAGATTATTGTATTAGATTATATGACAATTAATAGCTGGAAAATATCCTACTCGGAACATGATTTTTGTTTCCACCCTCACGCGTCTAAAAGAGAGTGCTTTCACGCTCTTTGTCACATCAACATCCAAGAGTCGAGACTTCAAATTACCAAGTTCAAAGAGTAATTAAGCCAATGTACAATCAGATGTAAACTGAATAAAACTAGTCAATTTAGGGGGGGTCGCGAGCTATTCTGCATTTACAAATTATAGCAGAACAAAAAGGCAAAATGCGGCCATTATGTTGAATAATCTTACTTATTGACACACTATCAAACAAATGAAACGAGCGAGTGATATATACTATATCAGTCTTAGGAATACTGCACTTTTGTCGGCATTAGATAAATACTGTATAATAATATTATTTTCAGAATAACGTTTAGAGGATATGTATGTTGAGTTTAAGTGGTAAATTGCTATAGTACTCAGATCCTCTAAATTAAAATAAATGTATGTCATATTTTATTTTATAAATAAGTTTATTGCTTTGTTTGATCTGGAGTAAAAAAGTAAATAATTTAATTACTTACCTATATAATTTCGATTATGGAGACTTTTTAAAATTACCTAAATATGTAATTAAGAAGTAATCTTATGAAGTTATCTATAGTCATTCCTTTCAGAAATAGTTGTTTATACGATAACAATTACAAGCTTTAATGGATGATATTGATCCTGTGATGACCTGATAAGTCATTTATAGTTTTAACCTTCAATTCCGTGTTTGAAATCTCGATTAGATTCGTTTAGCATTCTTCGATTTACGTGCGCAGTCCGTGCCTTTTTCCGAAAGGTTTTTACGAGAAAAATTAATATGTGAAATCTTGCTTTAAAACTCATTTGAGTGGTCTTCAGTCAACGTTTTGAGCAAACGGACCCGGATCAGTATTTTGACGGCCCTGATGAGTCCGTATCGTGATTTAGGACTTAGGCGTACATCGAATTGGAAGTCCCTAGCTTGAATTATCG